GACTGCACAAAATAGTACTGAACAGAAATCAAAACAACGGCGCCGGTGGTGTAGTGGTAAGCGTGATTACCTCTCACCCCAGCAGGCCTGGGTTCAATCCCAGTCGGCGCCGCCAGGATGTTCTGAGGCATAACATCTCTGATCACGCCTTCCTTCGGATGGGAAGTAAAGCCGTTGGTCCCCGGTTCATGAGTTGATGGGTCGATAGGTAGGGTCCAGGTGTGGGAGCTGCCTTCCTGGCACGTCGGTAGCATTGGTGCTCAGCACGGAAAACAAAATCGATGGAAAAAACAAACCAAAAAGAATAAAAAAAAAGGAAATCAAAACAAATCGCATTTCGAGAAATTTTTGGCACCGGTTTTGAAAATATGATTCCGAGATAATCGCGTTTAAAGTTTCAAGTTGGGTTTAGTCCACTATAAGTGAATATTTTTGTCCGTCGCATAACTTTCACAATTTTCATCGGATCAACTTGATCTTTTGAGGAAATATTCTTGACTTTATATACTTTCGATTAGGACAATAAAAAAAATCGATTTTTTGAAAGTTTGCAGGTAGACGTAACCCCTTAAGGAAAACTATTTGGGAGTGAATAGCTTTCCATTCAGAATTCAGAATAGGAAAAGAATGACAATAGCCATTTCCGGCCAGCCCCACCTTCTCCGTTACGGGAAAAGCAAGGATATTGTTGGTGTTCCATCTACTTAACGAGAGGTCAGCGAATCACCGACGCCCCAATATATGCTACGGAGTTGGGTTAAGATTCACTTAAGCAGGCGATGCTACCTTAGGAATTGTTTAATTTTGGAGGAGTTTGGGAGTAAACCCACGATATTCTACTCAGTAAGCAAAAACGGCAGCCACCAAGCTAGCCGAGCTGCTTAATTTAAACCCTGGGACTAGGGGCATCCTACTCTAAACTTGGTATTTCTATCGATATACCTATAGATATCCGGGAATATTTATAAATACTTAAGAAATACTTAAGAAATATCTAGCGATGGTTTGTTTGCTCGGTTGCTATAGCCTATAAACAAATTTCATTTGTGTCTTTATCTGACGTTTGGATTCAAATCTTATCTGATTTTGCGTACATTTAACATTTATTATATTATTACCGAACGGTAACAGTTTTTTGTTGCATATAGGACGATAGGAAAAGAGGGGGAGAGGTAAGCTCATCGATTCTTCCGGTTCGCCTCCTAGCATCGTGCTATAATGTACCAGGCGATAACCAGGGTAGTTGATCGATAGCTCGATGACGTCATTTCGTTGGCGTCTGCAATGGGAAATTCTCATAGCAGGCGTTGACGATGTGACGTTGTCGAGTTGTTGAATAGCAACTATCGTGGTAACTCACCGAATACCTGTCGATCTGCCAAATTTGGAAAGACGTCTGCATTGAATTGTCTCATATAATAATATTCCGCCCACTATATCACAAGAAATTGCGAGTAGCTGAGTGGAATGGAGATAAGTTAAGCATTGGGTACAGGACCAAGTCTCCCCTGGGTGGTGCCAGAAGATGAGCGCAATAGAATCATCAAGTTGCCATAAAGCACGGAATGAGACTATTGCATGGATGGGTAGTCTAAGTCTTCCATTCGTTAGTCATTTCAGGTATATTAGAGCAGGTTTAGGTTTAGGGTGGGCGTTGGCCAGATTTGGATTTTTCAGATGTAATCCTGGATAGAACCCTGTCATTGAACGTCGCGTGAAAGTGGAACTTAATGAAGGCCTAAGTACTTTTTCGTAGTTTTTAGTTTTCGGATTTGAAAGATCGTCGGTTACAGTGGCCTGCTTACTGAGCAGAAAAATGCGGTCCCAGGTCCTTACATATCAAAGAGATTTATGGTAAAATCGCTTGTGTATCGTGTATTTTGCGAAACTCGTTGTTGTCGTTGGTGGAATGGATACAAAAATTTGAGCAACGGTATTATGTGATATGACGGGCTCGGTGGCCTTAGAGCAACCGTTTTTGCTTACTGAGCAGAACATCATGAGTCTAATCTCAGGCCCATCCACATTCACATTTGTCAATCGTCTTATTTGTTAATATGACTACATGGTAATAACAGCAACTCGGTGATTAAAAAGGTGTTCGTCTGCCTAGTGGCAAACGTTTTTGCTTACTGAGCAGAAGACCGTGGGTTTAGTCCCAAGCTCCTTCGCGTTATATGATCGTTAGGACATCAATTCAGCTTATCGTTTACCAAAACGAACCCTGCTGCAAACCCAACCCTCTTATCCAACATCCCAGTGATTCCTCGTGGAAGTGCAGAGGTGTTCTCGGCTTCCATCAAAGCGAGTGTCATGTCAACACAATCGTTCCCATTCCTTTCTTGACCAGTGTTCGGGCGCGGCCGGCGCTGGTATTGCCTAATTTAAGATCACCAGTTTTTACACATTGAGGATGATTGCTAGTCCCAAGCATCGTCTATTGGTTCTCTGTGTAATTACAGCTGATCTGGCAATAACAGAGTAGCAACCGTGGGCGGTCAATCAAGCTCAAGCTCAAGCTCAAGCATATAGGACGATAGGAAAAGAAACAGTGTTCAGTATGCACAGAAAGTTAACGGTCAATTTGTAGTAGATAGCAAAACGCATAACGAAAGGGTGGTGGATGAGCTATGATATAGAGGATAGAATGTCAGTGAATCTGGAGCTGTGGAACAGAGTGGATCTGGTGAAATTTGGATGGGGTTCAGAGACGTGAGGCACGTTGTTAGTGTGCATTTTTGGAAGGTAGTGTGTGAAGAGCCTATAAGGCAGTGATACTGTGCCTTTCGGAGACCGATATTGCAACCTCTGGGACAGCTAACGTCCGTGGTCTCCCAGGATCTGGGATCAGTTTACACTACAGCCGCCGATAGCCACGAGGATCGACAGCTTGACATAGACAGCGGTCGGTTTTTCTATTGCAGCAGCGTAAGTGTTTTACCTCCCGCCCGCCATTGGATCAATAAAACCATTCAATTAAAGTCTAAATTAACCCTTTTTGTAATGCATCTCATAATTCCGAAAACTCTCCCTACCTCGCCAGCGCCTGGAGACCCGGGAGCAAAACAGGCCTTTGGTGCCCACCCCAACAACTGCCAACTGGCTTAGACTAGCAGTCAGGGATGTAGACATGTCCCCTTCAGAGACGGCGCAGAAGTCCCGGTGTCAAACAGTTGTGAGTTTCAATATTAATAGAATTAGCTACACACCACTGACCGTATCGTACGTGACTCGTTGATCCAGTCCCAGGAGGAAGCTATACTGATGGCCATTGGAACCTTTCAACTATTGCTCGTTTAAATGTTTCGTTCAAAATACAGATCTAGAAATGACTATCTTGTTATAAGTATAGTTTTCACGGAGGTTTTCACCGAGGTTTTCACCCACTAGGATCTTGATCCTGTGATAATGACTACGAACATTTAAGCTGGTGGGAGCTGGCAATGGAACTTGTGGCATCCGGAGAGCCGAGTCTCATAGCTTCCGTTGCATTATGGGCCGCAGAAATGAACAACATTCCCATGGATTTCCCCCATACGATGCCCTTCTACTTGAAGCTCATAAAGGTCGCCAAGTTAGACAAGTTCAAATCGAAAAATCGGTTCAGAACAAAATTTAGAACGCTTTTAAAATTGACTATCAGAACATTCAATTCACCTGATATTTTTCTTACAGACGCTTACTTTGAACATTCCCATGTGGACATTGTGGTCCTACAGGTTTCGTTTAAAGGAAATCTATTATTTCACCCTAAAAACCAATAGTGTTGGAACCATTGAGTTGGAAAGCATGCATGAAGTACTCCTCGCAAAAATTAGAGAAAATGTACTCCCCCTTCCCATTCGTCACTTTGTTCCACTACCCAATGCATTGCTTGTCACAAATTTGTAACACCCCCTCCCCCACAGCGTGACTTACTTAATGGATGTTCCCTTAGAGGCTCTTGAACTAGCTTCTAGTGGAAAATTACAAAACGTCACAGATTATAAAATATGTGGCGATATTGGGTTAATGAGCTGAACGATAACCTTACAAAAATGCTCCATTTTCCAGGTTTCATTTTATCGTTTAAAAACCATATAGTTGTTTTCAAATTATTGTTATGTATAGATTCGGTGGTTCGGTAAACTATGATTAGTCTGTTGTTTAGTAGTCTTGAGAATAAACAATTTCATTGTGTTCAGCTTTTATTTCATAATATATACAGTCAACAACAACATAAATTCTTCGACAAATATGGAACACTACCATATGATGAACTCGCTAGACTGACTGTACAGTAATTACATGTTCTTTAATTGTAGGAGACTGTAAAAAAAAAAAAAAGATGATGATGGTCCCACCTCTTACCCCTACAAAGGTTTGAGCTGGACGATTTATCTTTAAGATAATTGAATATGACATTTTAACCAGGTAACGATCAGGAATTTTGTATAAATTTGTATATAATTTGATAATTTTAAATTGTTTGAATTAAATTCCTTAGGTTAGGCAGTAGGAAGACACAAGCATTTTTGCTGAAATCTTTCCTAAGACGGGTCCATTTAATTTATGGATAGGGTAGGAAAGGGACAGTCGCGCAATTAAACGAGCCAAGTTATCTTTCGTGTTTTTAGATTCACGATAGGACACGAAGGGTTTCGGGAAATGATGGACTTCCGGTTCGTCCGCGTTTTACTTTCCTTTATCTGAGGATTCATGGTCTCGATCATTTCGTCCGTGACTTCCCAACGTTCTTGAAGTGTGCGCGTTTGTTCGTGGGCGTTTTCCCTAGTTAAAGTATGTAATTTAAAGTGATGTCTAGTGTTTAAAATTAATTGAAGATTTTTGTTCGTTCCTTTAGCTAGTAGAATAAGTGTGCGTTTAGAGAATTGTGTGCGATCAGGAGAAAGGCTAGATACATCTACAGGTAATTTTTGATGTGCTCAATATATGCTGTCCATGTCCGTGCTCGTGCTTGTGCTCACTGTTCTGGTGTAGTCGTGTTAAATCGTTCGCAGCAATTCACCGTGCCCAAACGCAGCAACTTCTCCCCAACGGACGGAATTTCCCGGCAATCGCCAACCGGCCGGAAGCGGACGGATCCGTCACGTAATCGGTCCGAGGAGACTCAGGGGATCTCCACGTGGACACGGTCCACCCGCCGGTTCGTCAACCTACCGGCACGGCAGAGTAACCGCCATCGCATCGGCGTGTGAAACGCCATTGTCAGCGAAGCACCTCCATTCATCGGATCACCATCGACGATCCCTAAAGAGTGCGTCGAACCCGTTGATAGGTCATCGACTGTGACCATCACGTAAACCAACATCATCTGGTGAGTCAAGACTTTTCTATTTTTGGAGTGTGGCGTCCGGCGAGGGCGCCACGGAGTGATTTTTTGCCAGTCTAAGACTGATGAGCGAGTAGCGCCGAGTTTCCGTGACACGCTTTTCCGGAACTCATGATGTGGCATTCCCGCCTTTGAAAAGTAACGTTTTTCAACGCCAACGTCGTTGTCACCAGGAGCGCAGACTCGTTTGGAGCTGAGTTGCCGATAAAGTGACGTCACACACATGATTAAGTAGAGCACATGAGCACGTTAAGTAGGGAGAGAGAAATCGCACACACATAGGAGATAGGAGCGAACACACACAAGTAGACCGAAATGAATTGGAACATGTAAATAAAGATACGTAGGATAATGTTATGCACTAAATATACCGCCTGAATAGTTCCGTAATAATAAATGTTTTCGTAAAATGATCATCTTCTTAGCTTTAATTAATTGACTGTATTCGACATCACTTCGCGTTCCCGTTGTAGTTTTCGTGTCCCGTCCTCATGTTGAGAGTTTGAATGTTCGGGAGAGTAGTCCACTCCAGATCGGGGCGACGTCTAGTGGCAAGTGACGAGACTGCCGATGATGATAAATTCTCTTTTGTAGAGGTTTTTAGGTATGGGTGAACTCTCACCGACTCTCTGAGTGACTATCGTGTTTGTGGTTTCATGGAGATAATAGGGTTTTCCCGTTTTGGACGTTTAGTTGAAAGCCGGCTTGCCTGATCCGTAAATCCTTTCTAGGAAATTTAATGGACTCGCCCTTAGGAGAGTCTCAACCGGGCAAATTTACATTGGGCGTGTGGTCTCCTTTGTGGAGTGGCGCTTAAGCCACACGTTTTTAGAGACGGATCGCCCGGGCTGGCTACAAATTGGCCCAACTGCAGGTTTTCGGAATTTGGATTTTGAATTATGAATAGTTTTAGGTTCACGTATTGATAGATTTATGAATTTAAGAATATTTCTTCCGAAATGTTTGGTTTTGAGGAGAATCTTTGAGTGTTATTGAAGTTTAGTGAATTTATAGAAAGTTGTGGGATATTGAGTTGAAGTAACATTGAGTTGATTGTAGTGCCTTTTTGGGAAATTTGTATAAAATAATTATAATATAATTTAGCTAGTTTCCATATAGTTATTTATTGTTTCTCTGTTTTATAATTTTTATTACGATTTGTTTGATTACATAATTTTGTTATTGTTGCCATGGCTTCTAAATTTCCCCATGCGGATCATTTGACCAATGAGGAGGTAGATTATGAGCTTAGGATACGAGGAAGAATTGATGAAACTGAAAATGACGTTGAGGCAAAGTACCGCTTGTTGAGGAACTTGTTCTTGGGAGATGCTAAAGATCGTAAAGATTATTACTCTCCATATACCATCGATCACGAGTATGATCATATTTGCTCCAAGATCGGAGAATTAAAAAGGAAGTTGGCGAAAGGTATGGACGATAGGGCTATCTCTCGGTTGAAACACTATTGGTGGAGAGTAAAACGAATACTTACTCAAGATACGGAGTCGGAGCGTATGCGGAAAGAGCTCATCATTGAAATTCGTGCGGAATTGAGTAGGTTCTGCATTAGAATGGAGCAGAGCATAGATGGTGATAAAGAACAGGATAAGGTTAATGATGAAGAGCCGGATAAGGGTAATCCTGATAAGCAGAAAGAATCGGATGTGGTAACGGGTACGATACCAAAAACACAAATAAGCGATCGGGAAAAAGCGCTAGAGGCTAAGGTTGTCGGACTCGAACGGACACTGGAATTGCTGATGAAATACTCAGGAGGAGCCGTAGGAGGTGATCAAAATCGAAACGATGAGCGTAGCCAGTTCGGAGGTAGTAAGGTTGGTGTATGTGGTGCTCCTGATCAGCAACAGCAAAAGACGCCGTTCAAAAAACAGGTACCCAGACATAGGAATGACAGCATAAATAGAGGAGATGGATACGAGGCCGATACGAATGGCTCCCTTTACAGTGGAAGATATAACGGTTACCACAGTAATGAGAACAGGTACTCGCAGGTAGAACGAAACCAGGATTATCGGAGAAGACGAGAACCGCATTTTGACCAAGGGGATGATTCAGACGGAAATCAGAACGATCATCAAAATATGCATCGAAGAAGGAATGGAACAAATGTCCATAGAGAGCCACTTCGAGATGACCGAATCAGTGGGCAGCGGCGACGTGTGTTCTGCGGTCGGTTGGATGAACCAAACCGGTACCGTGAGCCGTACCATGACAGAAATTATGGACTTAGTTTCAGAAGACATCAAGTCCAGCCGGTTTTCAACTCAGACGAGTCTTCAGATGAGGACAATAAGCTTCCTGGAAGGAACCGTCAACAACAGCAGACCTACCGTGTAATCAGCGAGAATGAGATTCGGGACGCAGACCGCAGGATGGAGAAGTGGCATCTGAATTTTAGCGGAGATGCTCGTAGCAGGTCATTGGAGGATTTCCTGCTGAAGGTTCGTCGTCTTGCAAAGATGGATAGGATTGCAGATGACGTCCTGATGCAAAGGATCCACACCATTCTCAGAGGAGAAGCATATGACTGGTACTTGTGCTATGCAGATGAATTCCATAGTTGGCAGCAGTTTGAGGAAAGGATCCGGTATATGTATGGTAATCCAAACAAGGATCAGGGGAATCGGCAAAAGATTTACGAACGGAAGCAAAACCGGAACGAAACTTTCCTGAGTTTTAAAATGGAAATTGAGCGGTTGAATAAACTGCTTAGCACTCCACTAGATCAGCAGCGCATTTTTGAGGTTATCTGGGACAATATGCGCCCACATTACCGATCAAAATTAGCATGCCGAACCGTTCGCGATATAGGAAAGTTGGAGTACTACGCATACAGGATCGACGCTAATGATCCTGTCTTCAGACAACCGCGAGAGGGTGCCGGTAGGGTTAACGCGGTTCACAACATTGAGGTTACAGAAAAAGCGGCAGACTCCTATAATTCGGATTCAGAACCGGAGGAAGTAAACGCCTTAGAGAGGAAGTTTGACCAGGAAAGAAGACCAAGGGCTCCGCGAGCAGCTGTATCTATTGAGAAGAACTCTGCGAATGCCCGTGACGCATCAGGATATGCACAACCGCCGTTGTGTTGGAATTGTAGGAAAAACGGTCATTTATGGAGGAACTATCCAGAGCAGAAGAGGTTGTTTTGCTATTTATGTGGTACACAAGGGAAGACGGTAACCACGTGTGAAAACCATTCGAGGGAATCTCAGGTTAGATCCTTAGATAATTCGGGAAACTAAGTCGGGAGTGCAGTATAGGGAACAACAGCATTCCTGCTACTAGAGTTCCCAAAACAACCGAGTTAACACCTTTTTTAGACCCATATCAAGACATTTGTGAAGTGAAGATCCACACAGGCATGTGCCCACATGTTTCGGTGAAGATCTTCAATAAGGACTACGGCGCACTTTTGGACTCTGGGGCAAGTGTGAGTGTAACTAGCATGGTAGACATCGCGGAGAAAAATGAGTTCAACAGAGTCCAGTCAAGATAGTGACAGCGGATAAAACGGTGCACGAGAGCTTGGGTTACGCTTATTTGCCGATGGTGTAGTCGTGTTAAATCGTTCGCAGCAATTCACCGTGCCCAAACGCAGCAACTTCTCCCCAACGGACGGAATTTCCCGGAACCCTTCGTGTCCTGCTTGTGTCTTCCTACTGCCTAACCTAAGGAATTTAATTCAAACAATTTAAAATTATCAAATTATATACAAATTTATACAAAATTCCTGATCGTTACAAGACTGTTCACATTTAAAGCTCTTTGGTTCCACAATCGTCTTCTAGGATTCTCATGTTAGAGAAAATGGATCAAAAAGACTCAGTGAACTGCATTTTCCCATTTTAGATCACTGAAAAACATACATTTGGTTATATCCTTTCGTAGGCAGATTTGAAATACCCCCTTACAATGAATTCACACTTCATTTCAAATAAACTCATTTTATACTCTAAAAAATTATCAGATCACGCGACTAAAATTATCGAACTGATGGAGCAAAAAACAACAAACACAGCACTAGCAACCGGTCATAAAACAAACGTTACTACGATAAAAATAAAACCTAGAAATAAAATACTTAAAAATACTTAGCGATACTTACGAGATATTTAAAAATATTTAATAAATATTGGAACTAATGTTTAAAGTGGGATGCCCCTAGCCCTGGGACATAATTTGGTAAAGTTTTTATGAATACTAATAGAATTATAATACAAGCAAATTAAATAAAAAGGAAGAATCTCACCCGAATGATCTGTAACTAGCAGAGTTAATGTACACGTGCATCCATCCCGCGTGATAGAGACACGCTTGCTATAAGATCGTAGGTGCCTGGTACATTTCGAGACGTATTATTTCGCGTTTCTTTTTTGTTTCTGCGTGCCTCATTCGTGTCACATGTGCTGTGTCTCATGAGCTAAGCTCGGCGAGCTCCAGGGCGATCGGCAGCGTACCTACGTCCTGCGTGCATGCTAAAAGTGGCTGGTTGGTGGAGAACTGTTGTAGTCCTGTCACATTCTCGTGTTGCTGGTACAACTGATTGATTTCAATCAGTTGATATTCAGTTTTTGAGAGTTGAAAGATTGTGGTTTTATAGAAGTATTTCAAGCGGAAGATGTGTTAAACGATTACGAACCAATTACCGGCGGGGTTATTTGCTACCGATCCATGCGCATGGAATTTTCATGGTTCAAAATATTGATTTAGCTCCATCAAGTTCAAACGATTTCAAATCAGCACCTGATCATACCTGATCATCGAACGGCGTTCGGTTACAACGAACCACTAACAACTATGATGCGTACGTTTACGGCTGTCGAAGAATTATTCGAATTT